CCGAACACTCATCGTACATATACCCACGCATACATACAAAAGGGGGATAGACTTGTGACGATCACTTCTCACAGGCACAGTGGGACTCCTCACAACCCTGTATACGTATATGGAGTCRCAAGCAGTCCAAATCCAAAAATCCGAATCACAGGGCAWACCTGCAATYACACCAAGAATCAAACGACAACGCACGCACTACATGGAGTCAACTCCRATCATTCTCTATGSTCATACCCCTTCGCTTTAGCCATGCAAGCCCCAATCGCCGACCCAACCAACCTYAATTAAATACTCRGCACCTTTGTTAARTGRCCATTCAATAAAAGTCCGGGTGAAACCCTTAACAAACAGTTAAACCACCAGGGCTAAAGCCTTTTAGGTTGAGTATGGAGAGTGAGTTGGAATCGAGTCGAAGACCGACGAATCGGCAACCGACCTGTTATCAGCGTTAACAGAATGTGATCCTTTGTAGGATCAAGCTGACTCTAATCCAGATCCTGAATCGAACGACCAAGAAGACATGTGACACAAGAGAGGTCAATCCCCAAGCTAGATCTATAAGTCCTTGGAGGGTAATCACAATCTCGCTCCAAAAGCCTACCTTACTGACTGACCCCAAGCCTACCCCTAAACAGTGCCCAAAGCAAAGGTAGGTCCTGGCAGAATCTCCCCTATTTAGGGTGGATCGTCAGAGTCGCCACCTGTCAAAATATAATCTATCTCTTCTAAACTAAAAAAATTTCAGCAGCGCTTCCCGTAGGAAAAGTGCCTTCTCAGAATTTATACAAGCTCAAATATTAAAAGCAGGAGTGATCCATAACTCTGGACAACCAAATTTTGTCYAACTCCCTGAATTAGTAGAAATTTGGGCAGCATCCCCTTTGGWATTGGGGATTTCCCAGATTTATACCAAGTCAAATTTGAACTCAGCCCCCAAGTTTGAGTTCAACTTAGACAAAGTCTGACTAACTTCTTAGTTTTGCATAAATTTCGGCAGCACTCCCCTTAGAAAAGTRYTTTCCCAAATTTTATACAAAGCTAAGTTTAGAACTTGAAACTAACTTTGACTTCCCAAAGTCCAATTTTGTCTAACTCCCTGAATTAGCAAAATTTTGGGCAGCACTCCCTTTAGAAAAGGAGACTTTCCAAACTTTTACTAAGTCAGATATAAAGAAAAGACAARTTGAGCTTTGACAAGTCAAAATTTGCCTAACCTCTTGAATTTGTAAAAATTTCRGCAGCGCTTCCYGTAGGAAAAGTAGCTTACCAAAATTTATACATGTCCAAGTATAACAGYAAATCTCAGGAAAYGCAAGAATCGATCTAAGYAAAATAAAGTCARCTCAGAAAATGCARGAATTGACCTAACTCCTATCGCTCTAGCACGTGGYGAGCCTCTAAAGCAACTACCTGTCAACCTGGAACCCAGACCAAGTAGTAATCTCACTCAACCACATGCAGGYCAAACCACAAAGGTAAGTACTCTCGCCAACCCCAAGCCAATMTGAGGAAATAATAGTTCATGACCTTTCAGTGAGTTATCCCCTYATACCCAACTTACATAAGGCATAGGTCAGGGCACCTGAACTTACAGAGCGCGCCCAACTTAGCCAGACCCAAAGTCAGAATACCTAAACTTATAGAGCGTTCTGACTTGGCCAGGTATACACAAACAGAGGGCACAACTACTTCTCTCTTCTTTGGGCGTATGACCAGACCACTCTAGTCGCCCTGAACTGTTTAAATAGCCAAGTTATATATACCTCTCTGGACTTAGTCTTCAAAGGGGACATAAGGCTGAGCCGCTCAACTTAGAACATTGCTCAGCCTGCCCAAGTTTACCTTCAGTTATATCTCTTAGTTATACTCTCTTCAGTTGTGATAGCTATAGTCAGGCTACCTAAACTTATAGAGCGGCCTGACTAGCCTGTTCTTAATAGCATAGTAATACAATATAGGCAGATTATATCCATTGGTTCTAGCATGTGCGAGGCATTGGGTCAGACTACCTAAACTGATAGAGCGGTCTGACCCTCTGCCAGGTTCGTTTCTCTCTGATCCAATCTGTACGAGGCCATGGGACAGGCTACCTAAACTTATAGAGCGGTCTGTCCCTTGCCATAATTATTCCCTCAAAACAAAACAGGAGAAGGGTTGAACCACCTAAACTTATAGAGCGATTCAACCCTTCTCGTTCAGAACCAAAGAAACTGTGAGAGCCCCAAACAAAACGAGGCAACCCAAGGTACCTAAACTTATAGAGCGCCTCGGGTTCCTGAAAGTCACTCACAGTCAACCCCCCACAAGACAGAGCAGCCAGGACGCCTAAACTTATAGAGCATCCTGACCCTCCATGCAATTCACAACACCAGGCCTCCCCAAACGTATGGGGACATCCCAGCCTCCAGAGCTTCAGGCTACCTAAACTTATAGAGCGGCCTGAGGCTCCATGCAAACCAAAAATAAACAAAGCGCTAGGCTTCCCCAAACTTAAGGGGACTTCCCAGCCTCAATGACTCAACCAGGATGCATACAATACTGCCTTCCTCCCAACCTTCCCCCAGATGCAACTCACTTCATTCACAGTCTGCTTTCAGGCAATCAACAACTGAAACTGAGCTTGCACATACATTCCTTTACTTCAGTCTGACTTATGTCCTGAAAGTCAAAGTCAAGACCAAGTACAGGATCCACACAATACTCTAAGTCAAACGTAGATAGATGTACAGGTAGGGGTTATAGTTGGGTTTATAGAGGGAGTCAAGGGATTAGTACTCAGTTCCCTGCCTCCAGGACTCCGCCTGAGTCCCGGCAGAGCTCCCACAATCGGTGGGGCGACCTCCCACAAAGGCCTTGGCGCGGATTACGGGCCACACGCCCGCCTGCCGCCTTCCTCTCTGAGCCAAAGGACCAGACTTTAGAGTAAGAAGGGCAGGAACAGGAGGCCAGAGACTCTCAGATCCCAGGGGAGGAAGCACTTAGACTCGCATGAGAGGGACTTCCAACCTTCTTCGCCTGAGGGCCCCGCAATGGCAGCCAAAACGCTGAGAAGACGGCTGGACCAGAGCCCGAATGTAGACCAACAACTCCTGAAGATACTCCAAGTCGCAGCAGTGGTCCTCTTCAAGGTGGACCAACAACTGCCCCCCCCTTCTTGCAACCGCAATAACCTCCGCCTTCACCCGGGCTGAGCTAAACGGCGGGAGACAGCAACAGCACCCCCCTCGGGTAAACTCAGCAACGGCTCCCAACTGCAGCACTGCTCCAGCACCCCCACTACACAGCAACATCCGTGCTTCGGCTCAGCGATAACATCCTGCGGTAAAGGGTAACAACTTCGGTTGTATGACCAGCGGCCCTCCCAATAACAGCCCCAATGATCTGGGCAACCCTGTCAGTCCTTACGGCAGGACACCTCAACGCCCCGCTTACACAACCAGCATGAGGGTCAGCAGCGGGGATGGCAACAGGGCGCACAACCTTGGCGCAGCGGCCTATTAGCTGGTTCAGCTGCTGCTGCTACTGCTGCACGGCGACCCTAACTCTTGAGGGGCCCGCAACAGCGACCCGTAGACAGATGCCCCAGATCCTGGTCCAAACCGAGTCAGTAGCGTGCCTCCCGCTTCATTAGTCAGCGGCAACGACCCTCGACAACCTGCAGCAGTACCCCCAAATGCCCTCAGTCAGCAACTGCAACCCCCACAGCACCCTCAACAACGGCTGCGGGTTGGGCAGCGTCACGACCGACTCGTTTCTCCGGCCCTCTCCACAGCGCGACCAGGTACGAGCTCCTTAGCCCCTACTCCTTAACCCAACACCCGGTCAGTGCCTTCTCTTCGTCTGGCTGCCCCCTTGTTGTCCGCCCGGTCCGCCTTCAGCTTTGGGGTCACCCACCATACCCCAACCTCTCTTCCGTCGGACTTCTACTTTTCCGACATGCATCCAACTCACTTTCCCGTCCCGGTTCCCCCTGCTTCAGCCATGACTTGGCGCCCCCTTCTGTTACTAATCCCTCGCCCTACACCTCTAACGTCGGGACTGACCTCGTAGTCACGTTCGCCCTGCCCACAAACTCTTACTTGCTGCCCCTCCTGCCCGTTTTCACCCAAGATCGGGCAACTCCACTCTTCTCCCCCGCGCCCGGCTAGCTCCCCGCCATCCCCGACGCRCTCATGTTGACATCAACACCSGCGAARYTGCCGCTCGTCGGTCCGCCGAMACTCGTGATGAGAAGGAACAGAAAAGGCAGGCAAAAMAAAAAAAYWCCCGGTACTCGACCSCATTTTGCTTTATGCGTGTCCTCCCGGYATCGGGGCCAACACCGTCCCCGCTTTAACAGGTGTCCCAACGGACTTAGGCTAGGGCRATGYCCCGCGGCCTYTCGACCCGCGCTGCTACAACTCCACCGCACTGCGGYGCCCGAACCTGGCCTCCCTCTCAAGGTTCATACGTGCCGGCCTCRCGCGGGGTTACGCAGGTCCCSACCGTATYCGCCCCAATATTTGTCGGAGGCTCGCCGGTCCGCCCTCTCCCTCCTCCCRAATCTGGTCCATTTTCTTGGGTCTATGCCCGCCAGCCTGGCGCAGGGGCCAAGCAAATCTTATTTATTTCATTCCAATTTTTGCAGTTGTCCCGAAGGGCACCAACTGTGACAAGCGCCCCGAGGCACTCCCAGGGGTCGTCGGGGCTTCTCCTCCCCTGCCACGCGCACCCGTCCAGATTCGTCCCCAGAATCCCTTTTCCTTACTCGGATTTTCTCCACGGGAGATCTGCCCCGATTGCATCCCCCCTCACTCAGCCCTTCCCACATGGACCTGGCCCCTCCTTCGGGGTTCATACGTGTGAACCTTTGCATAGGCGCCAGGCAAATCGTTTTTATATCGTTCCCTAGATCGTCCCCCGTCTTCACCCTTGCCTCGTTGGCACATCGCGCCGATCCTCGGAAGGTCCAGTCGCCCACAGAGGGTCTGGCCTCCTCCCTCTTTCTCCTGAGAATCTGGCCTTGTTCCGAGGCCTTGTTCAATCACGACCTCAGCTACCACTTGGCCAGAGAGCTCAGGCGCAACCCTCTTACGAAACTGAGCTCCCCCTTTTTACAGGTTTCAGGCATGCGGGCCTAGTGCGCGCTGCACCCCGCAATGGCAGCAACGCTCAGGTCCGCCTTTGCTAGCCTCGGCTCGCGCGTGCCATCCTTACGTATGGGCCATGCCCACCCCTTTTGTGACGTCCCACTTCTAACGGTCTCCCGACAGACACAGCCCGTGCCGCGGAGGCAAGCGGCCCCCAGGCTGCTCGGGATGCACGGCCTTGCCCACCAGACTCCCTCATCTGGGTCCGAGCGCCGGCTTATTTCGTGGGCATACCCACCGCGGTTTCGCGCCCTCATACGGGCGTGAAGANGCCTTGCCCACCAGACTCCCTCATCTGGGTCCGAGCGCCGGCTTATTTCGTGGGCATACCCACCGCGGTTTCGCGCCCTCATACGGGCGTGAAGATAAGTAGTAGTAACAAAAACTCGTAATAAATAATTGCTACCAAAATGTCTAACTGTATAAACCCACAATACGGCCGTAGTCAGGTGGAAACCATAACCCCCACAAATGCAAAAGGCGAGAGGGATAGTCCTACCGGCCCATCAACCCCTCCAGTTTTTCCGCCGTGCTCCCCCGCTCCCTCACTCCCTGCCGGTGACCTCGATCCCTGCGTCAGCTGCATACCAATCTGATACTGTAACCAATAGGGCTAAGCCCAAGCCTGAAAGCAACAGGCGAGGCTTCCCATATAAGGTGGTACCGCACGGCGCTCCGGGTCAAGACACCGCCCGGCCACCCTTTCGGCCCACAATTGTACCCATGGCCCCTAGGTGCCCGCGCCGGCCTCCCACCCCGCGCCGTGGCCGTCCCGTACGCCTGTCAGTGCGCCAATCCTACCACCAGTCGCGCGCGCCAACCAAAAACAAGAAAAGAAACAGACTTTTACCCCTAGCCAGACCCGTAACGTGGTCCCGGTTGGTCGGCTAGACCGGCCGCCTGTTTCAACCGGGAAAAATCACACGTGCGCCTCAAAATTGCGCGCCCACATACTCCATACTGGGACAAGGCAGACCTTTGCCCGCTTGTGGACGACCCTCGCATTTCTCGCACGGGCACTCCAAATCCCGGTTAACCGAGCCTTCCTGTCACTTGCAAAAACCAGGGCGGATACCCTTGTAAGGGTATTCGCGCGGACACCGCGACGATGGAGGAGGAAGGAGATAACTTAGAGGAGGAAGAAGAAGAAGAGGAGGAGGAGGTGTTGGAGGAGGAGGAGGATGACGACGAGGAGGAGGATGACGAGGAGGAGGAGGAGGACGACGACAACGACTGGGAAGGGGATGAGGAAGAAACGGAGGAGGAAGAAGAGGAGGATGACCCGACGATGGAGGAGGAGGAGGAGGTGGAGGAGAAGGAGGCCACGACGACGGGAAGGTGTTTTTTTTTTTTTTTTTTTCGTTCGATCACTCAATCGATCAATCAATCAAACAATCAATCAATCAATCAATCAATCAATCAACCAATCAATCAATCGATTCGACGGGATCCTCGATCGATCGATTGATTGATTGAGTGATTGATTGATTGATTGATCGATTGATTGATTGATTGATAGATCGGACCAAAGACAACAACAACAACAACAAGAACAACAACAACAACAACAACAACAACAACAACAACAACAACAACAACAACAAAAAAA